GTAGCTCTCCTTGTGGGGGTCTGTCACATGTGTAGCCACCTTACAAGTTCTCACAGACAGGATCCCCACATACAGCATTATGTKATACAATACAGTATATTGTAGTTGCTGGTTTAGTAGTTTATTCCATGGATCTACTGTCCCATTATTTTGAGGYTGATACTGTAGCTGGAAAATCCATTGTACAGGATTTGAATCAAACCAAGCTTGTCCTACTTTATTCTTAAAAATGTTATTGGTGCTAAGAATGTATTCCTCTGGATAAGGGAAAAGCAGCAAACCACTGGCTTAAAGCAGTAACAGTTGTGAGATCAATGATAACTTCAGCAGGGAACACATTCCAAATTTCTGCTGCTGTAAGGATTTCTTTCCACCCCCCAGGTGTTTCTTATACATGAGAAGTTTCCCAGGTTAACTTACTTTTCTTGAAGTTGGTAAAATGCTGGTTATGTGATGTAATGTTGTTTGACAAAAATGGCAGGAACATACAGTTTGTTTCACCAGAGTTTTTACCACTGGACATCCTCCCCTCATAGCATGTTCAAATAAATACTACATCCCAGTATGTCTGAACCATTCCTGTAACCAGATACTTGTTCTGCCTCAGAGTTTTGTGCTATATTTTTTTCTAGCCAAATGCTCAGCCACCTGGCTCTGTGTTGCCAGGATTTTTAGCATTTTGGTAACTAGATRCACTTTTTATGGGTATGTTCTTAGACTGAGATATATTAAATCACTTTCCAGTGTAATGTTTTTCCCCCTTTCAATCATTTACTTAGCAATATTTTTTCATCCAGCCACTGGTGGAACCCTTAAGGATTACTAATTAAAACCAGCTTTACAACAGGAACAGACTCACAAAATTTGATCTCCACTTCTTGAGTTGTTAGCTCAGTAGTTAACAGCCCTTATTAAACAGCCAGGTTTTCAGGGAGTGAGTTAAATCACTGCCTATATTCTTCCAATTATGTCCCCATCACCCCTACCCATTTTCTCTAAGCCTTCTCTCTGTCAGGCTTTGTTGACTGMAGGTGAACTGCAGCAATACCACGGAAAGTTCTGACTTTCCAGGAGCACATACAAAAGAACATGTACAGGTCTACAGTTCATTTTGTCTGATTAAATTTATAGATTAGACAATAGGAAATTAACTGGCTTAATCTGTAGCAGATTTTTTCTTTAAAGACAGAATGCCTTTAAAAAAAGTTTGGCTTAGTAATTAAGAGACATGTAACTAAGGATTAAATAATGCAGTTAGCAAAAAAGATATTGAAATTGCATTCCCAAGCACTGACCTAGCTGCTGAACTGACGGAAAAAGGTGACTTCAGTAAGCAGATATTAACATGGAGGAAGTGCAACAATTCTTTTCTCTCCTGGTGATTTTGTTAAACCACTTTGTGCCACTAAGGGTTAATACACTGCTGTTTACCTAAAACAGTAGCTGGCAATAATAAATCAAGAGTTCTTTCCTTTCTTCCTGGTGCTCAGGACCATTAGGTAAATAAAAAAGGTTGCAACATAATGAAATGTGGTTTAGACCTTGKTGAACATGTTCCTTGTCATGTTCCCAATTTTCTGTGTCTTTTTTCCTCTGAGAACCATCATCACTCTGTTCTCACGCTGTCAGCGCACATACTGTTCGCACCCTGCTCACATGATACAACAAATGTTGCTTCATATATTTTCTTCATACTTATTTTAAATTATTCCGTTAAGAAAACAACTCTAAAAGGGATTTTGTGTTCAGTCTTATCCCTTGGTCATTAAAACTGGAAGGCTTCACTGATCACAAAATCCTCACTTTCATCCAATTCTCTAACTTTATCTTTTCATCCAATTACCTTTTAATTATGCTCCCWGAGCTCCAGATGCTGTGCTAGCTGATCTGTTGTTGCAGATTCAAGAAGTGACTTTAAAACTAGCTGCACACAGTATTTTTTTTTTGTCAATTTTGGACTTATGAAATTTGGACTTATGAAATTTCTGATATTTAGAGTTTTCTGTCTAACAACATTAACAAGGAGCTTTTTTCTTTTAATTACCTTTAAAACACAAGTGAGAAATTATTCTCGTTTCCCCTGGAACATATATAAATATATAGATATTTTATAGATGAGAGCTTTCAGAATTCAATTTAGATATATGATGTTTTCTATGAGGTATTCATATAACAGAGAAGAATTTTTTTATTTTTAGTATCACTATAACTACAGGTATGATTAAAGACTCAGTATGAACAGACTCASTACTACAACAGTCTTCAGTTGCATTTTTGAACTTGTTTTTATTATTATTTCATCAGTGAAGTATTTTTGAGAATATGAAAGAGTAGATTGATGTGAACTGTAAAAAAGATAAAATAAGTCCATATTATTATTATCATCTCTTTGGAATGGTGAGATTTTTAACAGTTTCAGAACTCTTAAAATAACAACACGTTTTCCTAATTTTGAAATCTTTGCTTCCTTTCAAACTAATATTTTAGTCTACTTCTTTAAAAATATACACAAGCACAAATCTTTGCAGTTCATACTTGTAATGGAATTCCTGTTACCTGTTTCACTTAGACAACAGATATTTCTGGGTTTGTTTTGCTTTTATCCTGACTCAGCCAGCCATTGAAATGGATTGTGTTGAGATCTGTGTCTTTTAATGAAAAAAATTATATTGTTCTACCTCTTGCAGTCTTAAAGGGGATATATAAAAAACCTGTTTGGATTAGATTTTCTGAGTAGACAAATAGAAACACTTCATTTTCCTTACCACCTTGGAGTGAGTCAGCACTTCCATTTTCTGGAGGAGGAACAACTTATTTTAATCATAGCATTTTATTTTAAATTTTAGGTACAGAGTTGGGATTATCTACTCATGCTGAAAAGTACAGACAAAGTTCAGCATAACATAAAACTATTAGGAGGCTAAAAGAAAACTTGCTTACTGTACAAGCCTGGTTGAATTATTACAGCTGTAAGTTTCATCTGACTGGCAATATCCCAGGTCAAGAGCACTTGAACCATCACAGTGTAGGGAAGCAAAAATTTGTGACCAGTGACTCTTTTTTTCAGTATCCTGTGATCTGTGAGCTTAAAAATTCTCCAACTTTGGTAATATTATTGAACGTCAAATGACAAAGTCATCACAAACCTGTAATGAAACATCAGCAACAAGCTATTCTGATTCATGAATACCTCTCAGGTCTTCCAAATTTTCAGTCAAAGAATAATATTGCCATTCTTATTTGTCCACATTTTAAGACCTGCAAGCTGTGCATTCCCCAAGTTCTCCCTACTTTTAATAAATATGCAAACATTCTAGCAAAATCTACTGAAAAAAACTGCTGATTATGAAAAGTGTAATAAACATTTCTGTAGGTATCTTCCAGTTTGGGACAGAAACAAAAAGTAAGAAAAAGCTATTTTACTAGTTAAAAATAAAAAAGTTTCAACTATTTCATTATATATTTATTACATTACATAATATGTTCTATATACATTATTACATATTTAAAATTTACTGTGGATTCTTTTGGTTGTTTTGTTTTTTTTTTAATGAAAGCTTTTAGGAAACAATGGCTTTACCCCAACCCAGAAGATAAATTAACAACTGACTGCAAGAGTTTAATATTTAGTTACTYTGGTTCTACTGGGCCTCATACAAGTTTGTGGGTGGCAATATCTTTGTATTTTAGATAATGCTTATTCAAATTAAATTGCTGGAAGTTGGTCAAGAAACAAGAAGCACTCAACCTTGATGAAGCTTTGGCAGCAGCTCTGCTACATCTGTGTAGTGKTGTTGTGGGGTTTGATGGTCCTACACCAGACAGTGATAATGAAGGGAACTGGGAGTCCTTGATTGTCCTTTTCCTCCTCTCATATCCATACTCCAGTACAGCAGCTCTCCATAAGCTTCTAAMAAATGGCAAATAAATGTCCTGAAAATCATGGAAAAGTTGAAAACAGCTGGAAAACTGGAACAAAACCTGCAAAAACTTATATTCAGTTGAAATGAAACATTACTGAATCATAAAGCCAGAACTATCTAGTCTTCAGTATTTTGTTTGCAGCATTGGCCTTCTGCATTTCAAATGCAGGTGTTAGCACTAATTGCTGTAACATAAAAACATGGTTTTTAACAAATAGATATTGCACTAGAAAAGCAATTTCTTTTTTASTCCAAACAACTTAGTTTTCTATTGAAGTAGCAAGACTTTAAAGTTTGTTTATTTGTCTGTATTTTGTTTGTTTGKTTGGTTTGCTTTGTTTTTAACAAACCAAGAGGAAAGAAACCAAAGAYGTATAAGTGGCTCATCTCTACAGACTGTACACATCAGCATTTTCTAAGCATTGGGGTTGGAAAGCAATTTCTGAGAAACCATTTTTCTTCCGGGCAAATTAAGTAACAAATAATGAAAAGATAAATAATGAAAAAGAATGCAACAASATTTACTGGCTGAGTCATATCACTACAAGGTAGGCTGTACAGTACAGTGCGATAGAGCCACATTTTCAAGAATAATATACTACCTGGAAATCTTCAGGAATGCAGACAGCAAAATAAAGCCCCCTGTTAAAAATGCTTGATTTTTCTCATGAAACAAAGAAAATCCAAACATATAAAATACATATTGATTCAATATATATTGCATTAAAATATATATTGATTAAAATATATATTGATTCAATTAAATATTGTCTTGCAGGAAGAAAGCTTTTGTCTGTTTTTTTAGGCTCAAATATTTTTGAGAGCATTATGATTGTTTCATGACTCTTCCTTTGCAAGCAAATCCTAGCCAAGTAAGAGGAATATCTGTGTATGCTGTACTCAAAAAGCATTACAGATATTTGAATAGCTATTTCTTGTTGATAAAATAATTKCTGAAACATGAACAGCATCATTAACTCACTATTATGGCAGTGAAAAACCCTACTGTTGGAGGTTATTCAATTGATTACTGTTGGAGGTAATTCAATTGATTACTGTCTGTCTTTGTTTTTTTAGGAGTGAAATTAGATGATGAATCAAAACATGAACATTTCTGTTCAGAAGCAAGTGGAAGAGACAGAGGCTTTTGGGACCCAACCAAGACAACCTTATGAATTAGAGAGGGGTTGCCAACCAGGTGACCATCTGTGTCATTCAAATCTTCCGTCTCAAAGTTTCTACCCATATTCACCTCATTATGCACATAGGAATATGAATTACAGCAGTGATTGGGAAATTTTTGAAGCAGTAAAAATTCAGGAGCTGGAAGAAGTCAAAGCCAGAGCTGCCCAAATGGAGAAGACCATGCGTTGGTGGTCAGATTGCACCGCTAACTGGAGGGAGAAATGGAGCAAAGTCAGAGGAGAAAGAAACAAAGCACGAGAGGAAGCAAGACAACTGAGGATCAAATTGGACAATGTCATAAAAGAGCTAAGTATGCTTAAAAAAATAAATCAGGATTTAGTAAGTGAGAAGGAAAACTTAGAAAATGGAACTGCTTGCAAAACAGAATGCAGTTGCTCAGAAGTRTCTTATATTAAAAAAGACCAAAACCTGTTAACATTTCTGGAACCAGAACCTGTGARAGAACTGAGCAAAATCATCAGAATTCCTGGGGCTGAAGACACAAAGAAGGTAAAGAATGGGGAATCTTTTTTTTCTGGTTCATGAAGAAGTGGCAAAGTATGGATGTGTACCGAGAAATGAGTTTTTCAAGCATTTTGACCAAAATGCTGCCTTATACCTTCACTAACAAAATCCTTCCCCCCTCCTCCCCATCTAAATATTCCTAATACAGAAAAATATAGAAAACAATTAATACCTTTGCACTATGACTAGACATTTACGTAACAGACTGTTCTTTCCAATAATTTGCAGTATTATTTTCATCCTCTCTCTGCTAACAGATTACTTCTCKTATCTGAATTAACCATGCTTTKTGTACTTACATATTTTCTCCCCTCCAAAAAGACACGTTCAGTTCTTGCCTTCAAAAATAAAGTCATTTAATTCTCCCTGAATTTCAAAAGCATGGGAAGAGGAGACGGAAATTCCCTTGCTAATTTGTGAGAGTTTTTGTTTGATAAGTAAGGATAGCAGTGAAGTCATGATATAGAATTCATGTATCAACATTGTTCAAACAGCTTCTAGTTCTATTCAAAAATTCCAGTTATATTCATCAAAAATTGAAGTATTTGTTCATGTTTAACTACCTTTAATCCTGTGCCTTGGCATGCACTGTAKAGTCTTCATAGACAGCAGCATGTAAAAACTGTATTTGTTGTCTGAAAGATGGTAGTCATGGTAGATATAGGTAATTTTTTCATACGTTGCAGGAAAAGGCTTTTCCCTGCATTGTGGAARGTAGGAATTTTATTACTTCAGTTCAAGGGAAATTGCCAAGATCTTAGATCTGAATATATTCTGTTCAGAAATTTTACTCTGTAGTGTGCATTAACAATATTATATTCATGTGAAATCTGAAAAAAATAAAAAAAAAAAAAAAAATAGCGTTAGTAGTGAGAATCAATTTTTGCCCAAAAAAGCACGCCTTTCATATTTGCAGGCAGACAAATGTGCCATTGGAAGGAAATACCACAAAATATACTTTTTCTCCTTAGTATAAAATATTTTCTTCTTGAAAATTGAAAGTTTACATGCGAATGGAAAACATCTTTTCAGTGGTTTCTAGTATTCTCTGATGTAAATTTTGAGCATTCTGAAAACTCAAAAGAACAGAGTAGTGTGAAGGAGGGTTGTTGGTAATCTGCTAAAATGAGATTAGCTTTTAAACAAAAGTCTTCAGATGTGGTAAAGCAAACACATTTCTAAAGGAATCTTGTTTATAAAAGACATTAAGTGTTCCTAAAAATGTGTATTTTATTTTTAATTATTTTTTTTCCTAATTGATATAAGTTTTGCTTTGTTTTATATGCAAAACATGTATCTTCAAAATAGATATCTGCATACTTTATTCCTTGTGAAAAAATTGCATCAGCCCATCAACTGCTTCAACACACTTTACATTAAAATTTTCAGTGTTCTTAATATAGATTACTAGTATTCCTAGTAATACTATAGTATTCCTAGTTTTATTAGCTCCAGGATTCTGTCTACACAACTTGCATCTAAYAACTTATATCTAGCAAAACAACTTATATCTAACAAAAGATAARCAGAATACATTTCCTTAGTAAAGACACATGAGAAGTATTTTGTATGTGAAGCTTGTCATAACAGAAGGTGTGAGATATGACAAAATTACAGAGATTCAAATATAGTGACTTGCACCTTCTATCTATATACAGTACAATGGTATAAGATGTTACCTACTTCCCTTTTTCCTCCTATTTTCCTTAAATGTGTAGAAGAGCCTTGRCAGGCCCTGCAGGAACTATGTTAGACTTTTTCCTTCATTTATGTTTTTCTCAGATGTCGTATTTTTGTTTTCTTAGGATGTGAACAAAGACCAAAGCAATAAAAAATTCACCCCAAAGCCTCCTGATTTCTTCCCCAGTGGACTTTCCAGCAACTATTTGGAGGAATCTAAAATAAATTTGGACACTACAGCTAAGACAACAGAGAATGATTTAATACATGTATCAGTCTTAAATTTGCATTTGGCTGAGATGAAGAAAATCTTACAGAAGGAAAGAGAGTAAGTGCAAAAATATATCCTACTTGTGGAATTCTCGTAGAGAGGTTTAAGACAGTTTCTAAACTAGATATGGTGATGTATTCATTTATAACTCATATGTKCTAAGCTATATTCATTACTATTTGCAAGGCTTTAATGAGAATTGAGAGACAGAATTCAGCATAGTGTGTTTATTGTTTTCTTTGGCTTGTCTGTCATTTAAACAAGATGTGTTCCATACAAATATAAACCTATTAGCAATTTGGTATCAATGTGGTGGTATCKAATATATTTTATGCTCAGTTATTGGAGTGCTTTGTGCATAATAACTAATTTTCATATACCCTACAAGAAAAAAGAGTCCAACTGCAGAATGACACRGGCTGGTTTTGAATTCAAAATATATGAATCATCTGCAAAATGTGTTAATCTTAACCTCTTCACTTCTAGCAAAGTCTGTGTTAAAAGAGAGACTAACACATTTATTGTATCTTATCAAATTTGCCTCATATAAATACTAAATKTACATTTTGGTGGCCTAAAAGAAGTCTTATGTTGTATAGATGGTAAGTCTATACATTGATTGGGAAATACTGAATTGGACAAGAAAGACTTTTSAAGGAAACATACAGTATGTGATGTATGATGATGTAGTACAGACTTCAGGCACTATGTGACTGTAACTTCAAAACCAGTTTAGGTTAATTAGAAAATCAAAAGGAAGAAAATTCTCTGTCTATTGCAAAAATATTGAGCGTTTCCATTTCAGAGAGTCCATAATGGTAAACTGTGTCAAAAAATTTCCTTCCTGTCAGCTTATTTCACATTTCCTGCCTGTCAGTTTATTGCATAGTTGTCCTGTGGACAGCACAAGTGTGATGTAAAAAAAACTAAAAAAGAACCCAAAACCTTTAAATTTATAACTAATATTCAATGTGTTTTGTTATAAAAATCAGATAGCTGTAAAAAGCATACAACAATTCTTTAGTTGAATCATATAGCAGATGACCAGAAGTAGGCCCTCGCTCCTTGAAAAGTGTTCAGTTTTTCTGTGGAAGAAAATACATATGTGAGTTAGGAGACTGATGTCTCACATATCCATTTTTCTGAGGTTGAAATATTTGGGGCCTAAGTACTTCATCTTTCAACAGCAACCACAGTATACATAAAGAATTTTCTTTTAGGAAATGGATAATTTTTCAACTCATTTTTAGTCACTTCTCRGGCAAAGCTTTAACAGATTTTGGTKGYTCMCATGCCTCTSTAKCCAATTTGTAGCTGTGCTTCAGAGAGAGATTTTGCCATTTTTGCCTGGACATATACTGATATGTTACTGACTGTGGTATAAGGCAATAACTTACTGGCACAAGGTAGGAACTGGGGCACACCTGCACACACACAACATGTGACAATACCAACCTCAAGCAGCAAATGCTCACAGGACAAGGAATTCCACATAACAGCAGGGATTGGTTTAAGAACTCCCTCTCCAGGAAAGCAACATTTCCTGGGTGCAGACATGTTAGACAAGCAGAATATATGTAACTTCAGAGTATGAAGCAACTATATTTAAATTTAAATAGATAGACTACTAGAATACTCTCATAGCCACCAGTCTCTTGAGATAGCTGATGAATCTTTTTTGGGCAGACTGTCACCTGCTAGCTCAGAAAGGGCTGGTCTCAACTGCTTAGTGGAACCGGCTGATTTTGCTGAATTTCAGTCTTCAGTTTTCCAGTTTTCCCTCTTGGGTTTTGTTCTTGCTCATGTCAATATTTTTGCTCCTAGATTCTGGAGCTGCTAATAACGACTATCTCAACAATCTCACCCCTTTTTGCATTTTCCCTTCCCTTATCTTGCATGGCTCTAGCTTAAGTACTTTCTCACAGCTTCTTTCTCACAACTTAGCAATTTTCTCAGTGAACTTGAGCCAAGGACACACAGCTGTTCTGCATCAAAAGCAAATAGATCATAGACAGCTTGACCCCCAAGGCCAAAGGTTTCCTTGGCAGTCAGTATGATCCTACTCATACAGCAGAGGACTTCTCAGCAGTTTTCTGGTTTACATGCAGCACTCTGAAYTCTGACTGCATTTTTTCTAAAGTCWGCTTATGCAAATCCAATGTTTGGACCTGCCCCTAACTAAGCTACCTAACAGTTACTTAACTAGAAACCTTCTTGGTTTCCTAACTAATCTTTCCATAATATGTTTTGCTTCTTCAGCCTGAAAGGACTTATTGCATTCTGTTTAGAGCTATTGTCAGTAATGCTGACATAGCCTTATGAAAACAGATCAGGCTTTGCAAAGGGCAAAAAGAAAGGTCTGAAAAAAAAAAACAGAAAAAGTAAGGAAATGAAAGTTTATGTTTCGACTTTCAAAAAATATCAGGCTTGGGTTTGCAACGTAATTTCACACACCAGCATCCTCTACTAGGCATTAATGGCTCATATCAATTACACATTTAAGGTCCCATTGACATGAATGGAAATAACAAACCTTATGAGTTGCTCAGCATTTTCCATAATCATTTGCCTAAAATAGCTATCTTTTGTCATCTTTTGGATCAGTGTTCTCATCTAAATGTCTCCTGGTTTTAAGATTGTAATTTGTTCTGTTTTGAACTTAAAAGTGTTTATTTCCTCTAAAACCAAAAGCCCACAAACCACACAGCTAGTTGATAATATCAGAGGACCTGCTTATGGCTGGCTGGGTAGATGTAGGCAATGGATACAGAAGGCTCTGTCTCAACAGTGAGAAATCAGTTTTTTTAGTGTGTGGATCACTGAACACCGGCACCAGTTTCCCAGAARCGTTGCTGAGTCTGCATCCTWGGAGACATCCAARAGCCATCTGGACATGGTCCTGAGCAACCMRTTCAAGGCCACCCTGCTTGAGCAGGGGTTTCACATCAGATGATCTCCAAAGTTCCCTCTCAACCTCAGTCATTCTGTGGATCAATTTGATCTTTATTTATGCCTCAACATGTGTTACACATGGGGTGAAAAATTAYTCTYGGGCTGYACCCGTGCTGGGAGAAAATACCTGGGAAATTGGATGGGAGGAACTTTCGCAGATAACAGCATTTACCTGCGACACAAACGGGGCCATTTTCTTGGGGTTTCTTGAAGGGAACTCTCCCAAAGGGTCAGCTTGGCCCCTCTCTCCCTCCCCTGCGGTTCTGCCSCTTCCCTGGCTGTCTGTCCTGCCCGCTCCTGTCCTGCTCCGCTCCCCGAGGCCGCTCCGTGGCCGCCACAGCTCCGAGCTCCGCCCCTCGCCCCACGGAGCCACGGCCGAGCCCCGGCCCCGACAGCCACAGCTGCTCCCGAGTGTCCTGGAGCCACAGATGCCTGTTCCTCGTCCACGGGAGGGTCACGGCAGCCTGTTCCTCGCCCACGGGAGGCACATGCCTCCCGCGATTTGGAAATCGCGCCCGCCCCGCCCCGGGAGCAGCGCAGATTCCCCGCATCTCGCAGCGCACACGCTCCATCTGCAGAGCTGCCGCCCGGATCTGTCCTGGTATCCTGTTTCTCTCTCCATCTCTCGTTTCCCCTCTTTAATCCCTTTTCTAGCCCACTTCGGTAGGAACACTTACCTTCTTCATCAATAAGCGGTTTCAGATATAAAATTGCCGCATTTGCACTTTATTTCCTTTTTCTATCAAAAAAACCCCTCCCCGACTTCCCTCTTTTCAGAGGGACAAGATGTGATTTAGTTAAATAGTGAGTTAAAATGTCTCGTTAGAWGATYCMCWAAAAATGCTCTGAACTTGATTCTTTTACCTGGTAGTAAGGTGTTTCTGATCTCTGYTATATTCTTTCTGCAACTCCTTGTTTATTTCAATAGTAAACTTTATG